AAGCTTTTTTCGGTACGGATGCGAAGCTATCGATAAGTCTTAAGTAAATATTAACTTTCGCTAGCTGTTTTATAAAAGCTTCGATCTTTAAGTTAAGATCGACGAATAAAGTAATCGAATTCGTAGCGGTAGTACTTACGCGATAAAAAAAAAAATATTATCGAAGTAAGTGCTATAAAAAAGTAAAACGTATAAGTTTCGCTTGCTTTCGAGAATAATAAACGGTATTTAAAAACGAAAGTTTTCGTTTTAATAAAGATTATAACGAAAAAAAGCTTCGAAGATTTTAGCGTAGCCGTATTTTTTAATCCGTTTTATAATGATTTGCTTTTACTTAATTAAGTCGCTTATTATAATATATATTATATTATAAGATTGTAATCTTCTTTAAGTTTGACGTTCTTTCAAATCTGATTTTATATCGATAGCGATAAGCACTTAAAGAACTTTCACTTTAATTGCTTATCGATAATATTTTTATTAATTAAGCAAGCAAAGCTCGTAAGATTAAATTATCGAATAAATTATAAAAGCTACGCTTTAAAAGCTTTTTCTTTTGCTATTTACTTATTGCTTAAGTCGTTTAAAAATTTAATATTATCTTTTTATTTAATTAAATCGAATGCTTTATATTTTTTTTTTAATTATCGATTTAAATTCGTTTTAAATTATTTTCGAATTTAAAAAGCTTTTAAGGCTTTCGATATTATAACGTATATTATAATCGAAAGGATTAAAAATATTATATTTAATAAAGCATTGCTTTTTTTTCGAATCGCTAACGATATTATAATTTTTAAACGCTCGATTAAGCTAGCGAATATAATCCGTAATATTAGCTTTATCGAAAGCAAGCATTTTAAAAGCTTTAAATTTAAAAAAAGTTTACGAATACTTATATAATTCGAAGCATTTACGAAAGATAAAAAGGCTTAAATCCTTTTCACTTCGTTTTCGGTTAGCTTGCGAATAGCATTTTCGTTAAATCCGAAATCTTTTTAAATCGAAAAAGTTATAGCTTTTTTTAATTTTCGAAAGCTTTAACGTAAGCTCGTTAAATTGAATTAATAGATATCGATTAAGATATGAAAGTGCTTTAAAACGGATATAAAAAAGGAACGAGAATGATATAAATGATATAAGTATAAATAAATAATAAAAATAAAATAATATAATTTATAATAAATATTAAATATATAAAGAAATGTTATAAAAATATAAGATTTCGATGCGTTAAAAGTGATTTATTAAAAAATCGAGTATCGATTGCTTTGAGCTAGATAATCGAAATTAAATCGATATAATAAATGATATTAGCGATACGTTTAATTTTATAATATAAGATCCGTAATAAGCGGAAAAGTAATTGCCGAGATTAAATATATTAAAATAAAAATGAAATCGAGTAATAGCCGAGCTTTCGTGCATGTAACGACCTTAAGCGATTACTTGAAAGAACTCACGGGAGCGCGAGGGTTTATATAAAAGCTTAAGAGAATCTTAAAGTAATGACTTAAAATCAATAATTACCAAGTGTAAAAGTCGAAAGTAGCTAAGGTTTATATGCACGAAAATAAAAGCGCTAAGGACTCGTGAACTATAATTTATAAGTTAAAAGCGGAGAATAAAAGAATACGAAAAAAAAAAAAAGAAATAGCTTAGCGCATGTAAAATGCGTCTAAAAGACTTAGCGTATCGTTATATTACTTTCTCGTTCGAGAAAAGCTCGTCTTCAAGCGTTTATTTATTGCTTTATTATTGCTTAAGTAATTGTAGTTATTAATACCGTTTAAATAAATCTTGATCTATTCGAAAAGCTTTGCGGGAAAGCTAAAGAGCTTCTTATATTTTAAATAGAAATTACGTACTTTAAAAAGAGCGTATATAAAGTCGAAAGCGAAGTATTAAGTAAAGTTAATATCGCGGCCGAGTTAAAAAGCGCGGTATTCAAAATGCTTTTTAGTTTAGCGTACGGCTAAGATATTTTTTATTTCGTACTTAAGTTCGCTAGTAATATTAATCGAATCAAGTTTAAGAATAATTTGCTTGAAGATAAAGTTATTAAAAGCTTTTCGTAGCCGTTCGAAATAGAAAATTATATGAACTTTTATTAATTCGAAGAGCTCAAATTTAAAGCTGTTATAAACGTTATCGATAACTTTAAACGATCCGTTCGTAAAGTTATCGAGCTTTTTTAACAGTCGAAAAGTAAAGAACGAGCGCATATTTAACCAAACCTTATTATTAACGTCGAAGTCAATCGAGCGCTTTGATTTATTAGCTTGTTTAGCTATACGGTCTTAAGCGCGCTAAAGATGCTTTTTAGCGAGGTTTTAAGCTTCGAAGTAGCGGTTAGCGTAAGCGCGAGCTTCGTTTTAATTAAGCTTGCGAGAAAAGGTTTAGTTGTTAAGTCGTTTTAAGCTTTAATTTTAAATGATTCGAAAAGCGTAATTATAAATTACTTCGAAAGAAAAAAGACCGCCGAAAGAGTCGTAAAAGAGCGTTAATTAAGCGAAGTTTATAATAAAAAAGAATTCGCTTTAATCGTTTTAATAATAGCTTACGAAAAAACGGAAGCGCTTTTGCAAGTATTAATTATAGATTTCGATTTAATCGTTAATTTTAAAGTGTACGGCGATGCTAAAAGTTAATTTAATATTAAAGATTTTATTAAATTTTTTTTTAAAACTCGGATTAATATTAAGGTCTTTTATTAAAAGTCAATATCAAAAGAGCTTTAAAATACTTATAAATGTAATAGATATAAAGCTTAGCAAAGCCTTTAGCGTCGATAAATTTATAATAAAAGATCGAGATTGCTTGCTTAAAAAAGCGGTCGATTATTATAAAGACGTTATCGTAGCCGTATTTGTTTTTATTAAAGCTATAAAAATCTATAATAACGTGCTCTTAAAAGCGCGAAAAGATCGAAAAAAATTAAAGCAAATTAAGTTTTTTATCGCGAGGCATTAAAGCTCGTTTGCAAGCGTAGCAGTTGCGGCAATATTAATTAACGAATCTAGCTATACCGTATTAATAGTATTATGCTGCAAAAAGCTTATAAGTTTTGCGAAAGCTAAAGTATGCTATAAATACTTGATCGTAGTGTCGGTATATCCATATCGACCTTAGCTAGTAGTAGTAGTAGTTACGGAGCTCACCCGTGAACCAAGGTTCACGGGCCACTTGGCATGCTTCGCTTAGCATGTTAGCAGTCAAGGGACCCTTAACTTAACAAGTAAACCTATTAGCTAGCTAGTGCACGTGATTCCTTTTAATTATATAGAAAGAATCAGCTCCTTTAAGCCTTAAAGAGCAGATAGAATTCAAATACCTTATTAACCGAGTGTTTTGCAATTGCAAGTACTTTAACGAACGTTACGACCTTACGAATATATATTTTTAATCGCTTAAAAGCAATCTAATACTAATTAGTAATTGATTTACTACTAAGTGATCAATTGTAAAGAAGCTAAGATTCTATAGCGAAGATACCTTTCATTACGATACCTCTTTTCTTTTACAACGGAAAAGCGATTCCGTATTAAGTCGCTTCTTATATTACCGATTTTTCTTTATTTTTACGGAAAAGTGATTCCGAATCAAATCACTTTTATACAACTTTTAAAGCTATAAAGCCGCGCTTGCTATACATAGCAAACTTAATTAACAAGATCGATTTACGTACGAATAAACAATAATTATAACCGATCGAGCAACTAGACTTTTAAGTAAAAAGTCTAGCTGATAAAAAGCAGTAAAGTATTATACCTTTCGAGTCTTATTACTACTTACGGAACCTTTAGCTATTCAACTAAAAGAAATACTATATTTAAGACTCTTAAGCCTTTCGGAAAGGCTAGACGACGAGATATCGAGCATCTTATTTGATTTAAACGAGCTATTATACGCAAAGCTTAATAGTGAGATTACGGCTCGAGCAATAGTAAAAGACTTTTTAAATGCAAAGTGTCGAAAGCTAAAGGATTACGACTTATAAAGCTTATTTCGGCACGCTTTTTTACGTTAAGATTAAACGAGCTTTACGATAACGGAAGACAATATAAGACGAGGCTTTAAGTTTGCTACTTTTATCGACTTTAAGAAACACTTGTTATTTAAAAGCGTATAATGCTCTTTAAAGCAAAAAGGTTACGCTAATAGAATGGTTAAGCTTTTGAACGACGAGCAGCAGCATTAATAGACTTTTAAAGAAGTAAAAGAGCAATAAGCAATACTTTTAAGTCTCGAATTAAAGTAGACCGCCGAAAACTTTACGGACGACGAAGATATTATACTTTAACCGCTTTTACTTTTACTTTCGAAAAGCTTAAAAAAGAAGGAAAAGAAGACCTCGAGCAAAAAAGAAAAAAGGAAAGAAGTTTAAAAGTTACGGAAAGAGTTTTTAAAAGAAAGGAGAGATATAGAACGAAGTATAAAAGCTATAATAAAGTAAATAACGGAATTACGGACCTACGCTATATAATCTAACGAAGAGCTACGACGAAGCGCGTTAGCGTACTCGACGTCTTTAATTCATCAACTTTATTAATCGCTACGTAATATGCTAACTATATAAAAAGAGCTAAAATCATTTTAACGGTTTTTAAATCCTTTTCTTAAGGGCTATAGCCGGGTTTTCGAAAAGCTAAGACCGAATAGCAATAAAAACGGTCTTAAGATCATCATCAAATTAAACAACGAACGAAGCTACGAAAGCTATACGCTAAAAAAAGACCCGTTAAAATTTAAAAGCATTCCGAGCAAAATCAGCTCTTATTAAAAACAGCGTGCAGATTTCCGTGCTTAACTTTAACAATTCGAAGAAAAGATCTAGCACTTTCGAACGTACCGATAAGCTTTTTATATCTTTTAAAAAGCTACGAATTAGCAAAAGAGATATTAAAAGTATAAAAATCGCTAAAAGTAAGCTTAAAGATACGGATATTATTAAGCTAAAGCTTTAGCAAATAACTTAAATAGCTTTAGCGATTTTAAAGATGACCGACGAAAAAAGAACGAAAGAGATTGTAGTGCTTACTAGCACTAAGATCAAAAGGAGATTCTATAGATTGAATGAAGCTTGGTATGTTCTATCTAAGAAGCTCGTTAAGATCTATGTATATGTACTTGAGAGCTTTAATGTGCTAAGAGCGCTACTAAGCGAGGTTACATAACATGTTATATATAGCTTAAGTAAAACTATACTTATTCCGCATAACACACCTTTTAAGTCAATAGCGTAGCTGTTAAGCTGCAAGCAAATAAAAAAGAAAAAAATAAATGACTAAGCTCTTTAAACTCGATGTAAATAAAAAAGATTATTATCGCAATTTAAACAAATAAATAACGGTTATCATTATTAATTAAGTGTCAATTAAGAATGCAATTCCTTTTTAAATCGGTCTTATTACGTAGCGGAAGTCTTTAGCGCTATCTTTATCGCGTTGCTATATAAATAAAAGCGCGTTCCTTTCTATTATAACAAACACTCAACCTTTATTTATTTATATAATACTTTTTAAACAAATAACTTAATCTAATAGAATCGTTAAGCGCGGCCGAAGCCGTTTAAAAGTAAGTGCTCTTAATAGATTAATATATTTATATTAACTATTAAAAGAATCCTTTCTTTACTTTAGCTATTGCTATTATTGCAGCTGCGGCGGCTGCGACGGCTATACTACGCACTCTTACTTTTAAAGCTTCGCTTTTTCTTTTAAACTTTTTTATTAAGCGCTTGCTTATGCTAACGACCGTTAAAGCTTTAAAGTGCATTAAGTACATTAATAATAAGATCATATCGAAGTTTAATAAAGACTATTACAATTGCGATACGAGCGTTATTCGTTATCTCCGGTGTGTTAAAAGTAGTTATAGCAACTATACCGCTGCTTTTATTACTGCTAACACCGCTTTCGATAACTTCGTAAGCGCTAAAGACAATAGTGTCATACAAAGAGTTCGCCGAAGTCTTCGAAATGCTATGCGATAACAGTTCGCTTTAAATGCTATTTTTTCAAGAAGTGCTGCTAATAATCCGGGCGGTTTAGCGAATAAAAGTAAAAGTTTTAAAAATAGTTTCGATAGCTTTGCAAGTTTTGCTTTTGCTTTTAAGACCTTTAATTTAAATATAGCTTTTATTAGATTGAATAGTCTTATAGCAGCGAATCGTAATCCGATGACTCGAAGCGCTTCGAGCATATTATTCTTTCGTAAGTTAAGCTCTTTAACTTTCGAAATAATTTAATTTAAGCAGCTCTTTTTAATTAAAATTTCTTTTCGAACTTTATGCAAAAGCTTTAATTTGCTGCTATAGCAGCTCTTGCGCTTGCTGCTCTTGTTGCTCTCGTCGCTCTCGCTGCTCTCGTCGCTCTCGCAGCTTTCGTCGCTTTCGTCGCACTTATTATCGTCGCTTTTTTTGCGCTAGTCGTTGCGCTTGCCGCTCTCGCGGCGGCGCTCGCCGTTGTTATAACTTTTACGGAGCGCTAAGCTAAAGTAAAAAGATTATTAAAAGCTTTAATAGATCTTTTGTTATAAGAAGCGAAAGGTAAAAGCGTATAAGATAAAATAAAATAATAGTTAAGATTATTAAATAAATGTTTTTTTTTAAATCACGTGCAAATGAAAAAAATAAAATGTAATAAGTGAATAGCACATGCGTGCTATTAAAGCTTTTCGACTAACGCGCGAGCGTCTTATAAATTTAAGAGCTTGATAAAGCTTTTAAACTTTTATCGAATTAGATTCTTAATAAGACTATTAACGTGCATCTTTTTAATAAAAAGATATTGAACTTAAAAGCTTTTTTTAAAGTGCTTTTAGCGCAGCTATATATTATGAATATCGACGTAACGAAGCTTAATAAAGATACGCTCTTTTTTATTAGCTATAAGCTTGATTGTTTATTGATTATTATAATAGACTACTTAAAGCGCCGCAAATCGAAAGTGCAGCTCTTTGAAAAATCGTTAAAGCGCTATAATCTCTTTTATTATAAAGGCTATGCTAAAAAGCTCCGCTTTAATAAATGATATAGTAATTATATCTTGCTTTAAAGCTTTTTAAAAGATTGTACTTTCGAATAAAAACATAATATACTTTTAAAAAGATCGCTTTATCTTTTCGTCATCGGCGTAAAAAGCGTCAAAAGCTATTACTAGCTCCGACTTGCTAAACTAGCTGTATTGAATACCTTTAAAGCGCGAGCTAAATAAATATCGCAAACATTAGTTTATAATTTAAAAGTGCTTTGCGCTTAAATTAATGCTAAAATGAAAGAGTTAAAAAGCTGTAAAAGCTATATTTAAGCGTAGCATGATCGCTATATATAATATAGATCTAACTTTCTTTTAATACTCTTTCACTTACTTCCGCGAAGCTATCTTTTTATTTTTAATTAAATTATAAAACGGTAATAAAGTTGCTAAGCAGCGTCCGTTCGTAAGTTCGAATTTCTTAACTATTTTTTTAATATAAGCGTCGTATATAAGCGTTAGCGTTTTTCGCTAACGGTTTCGAGCGACTTTTATATTAAGAAACTATTTAATATCTTTTATCGCTTCGATCTCGTACGCTTTATTAAGACCGTTAATGATCTCTTGCGCTTTAAAAAGATTAAAGTGATAATATATAACTTGAATATCGTCTACGTAAAACGCTATGAAAACCGTCTTATTTAAATTCGTAAAAATACACGATTCTTTATCGAGTAGCGTAAGCTTTAATTTATCGAGTGTGCTTGTGAAGTCGAAATACTATAAAGCTAACAAGTCTTTAAGTTTATATAAAGCTTTATCGACTTTTACGAACATACCTTTTTGCTTAAAACCGTTAAAGAAATAATACGTAATTAAAACGCTATTCGTATATCTTATAGCGTTAATAAAAGCGTTAACGACGTCGAATTATTTTACTTTTAAATTAAATTCGGTTATTATAATTATTATTATCTTAAACGATCTAGCTGCTAGCGTAATAGCGTAAATTAAATAGATAATAGATTCGTCTTAAAAATCGCTTTTAATTATAATCTTCGATTTAAACTTCACGATCTTTTCGGACGAGCTAATTTTATATATAAACACTTACTTAAAAAGTATAAGTTTTAACTTAGCTTCGCTTTCGAGAATCACTTTTTAACAGTTCCTTTTCTTTAAATTATTCAGCTTTATAAAAGCTCCGTCTTTAAACTCTTTGCTATATAAGTGTCGTTATAGCTCTTTTTAATAAGTAAAAGGTTTTAAATGTTTTCGTTTTTACGAATTAAATTGTTTTAATAATAACTTAAACGAAGTAGCAGCTGCTATAATAGCGTGTAATATCTCGTAATCTTTGTTATCTTCGCACACGAGATCGCTATTAGCTTAAAAAGTCGATATAAAATCTAAAACGCGCGAATAGCGGTTCGAATTAGCGCAAGAGTTGTTTAAAAAAAGTTTATTAACACTTGCGTATATCCTTGCGCGTTTTTTAATACGGCTATTAATAAATGAGTACTCTTTATTAAAATCGGAATTTTGTTTAAAGTATTTATAATTTAATTTCTTATTATTAATGCTCGCTTTAAAGAAGTTTAAAAGCTTTTTTTTAATTATTCGATTTAAATCTCCGCTAGTTGTTAACGTAAAAGCTTCCGTTAGTCGGCTTATAGCTTAGCCTTTTAAGCCCCGGCTTTAAATAACAACTTAAAAGTATAATTTGCGCGCTTCTTTATTAAAGCTAAGTTTTTGCTCGTTTACGGTGCTCCTTTTTGCTTTTAACAGTTTTAAAGCACCTTCGCCTTTGCTTTTAATTAAAAAGCTAGCGAAACGGTCAGCGGTATAATTCGAATCGTCAAGGTTTATTAAATCGTTTCGTAAAGCAATTGCTTTTAATATAGACGTATTTATAAAGTCTTTAATTAAAATTAAAGCTCTTGACGTTTGTGCATCGCTCGAATTAAATAAAGTCGCATCTTTTAAGCTTTAATTAAATCCTTTTAAGTCAACTTTTATAAAGTCTAACGGCTGCTCACTTTTTACATCAGCTGCATTCGTCTCTTTTAAGCGATCTTCTTTAACGTTCTTTATATTAAACAAAGCGTCTTTTGTTTGATTAAAGTCTTTAATATCTTTTAATTTAATAACGATGCTTTTAATCTCGTTAATTAGTTGGCCGACCGATTTTTTCTCGTTTTTAAGATAGAATTAAGTCTTATCGAACGTTACGTTACGTATAACAATCACTTTATAAAGCACAAGAACATAAACTTTATATATATTAAAAGTTATATATTTAATTAAATAGCTTATATGTCTTTTCGGTTTGACTTTAAAAGCTTTTTTATTGCGAAAAGCTTTTCGGTTTTTGATTATTAAGTACGCACGAGCGCTATACGCAACCAAACCGCTATAATCTAGTTTTAAGTCGGTATCGATCCGTATAAAGATCGCCGAATTGTACTACTTAAAATATTACTTAAATTAAAGCTGTAGCACTTCATTCGAACTCTTTATAAAGCTTTTCGCTTTCGGTATTATATTATAAAAGTAGATAACGGCTAATATAGTTTTAAGCTAGAGCTTCTTTAAAAGCCTTGCTCTTACTTTTATTTTAATAAACTGTTTTATTACTTTTCTTTTACCTTTCTTAGCTTTTTTATTAAGTTCGTAATTAAAAGATAATAAAAGCTTTAACTCGATCTCGATCTCTTTCGCTTATCTTTAGTATTCGATAAAGCCGATAACGTTAATTGCGATTATTAAAGAATCGTTGTTATAGCGCATAATAGTTATTAAAAGACCGTATTTGCGTCTTGTTTATGCTTCAAATTCCTTTAGCACTTTTATAACCGTCAATTGCAATTTGTCCTTTAATATAAAGCCGAATAGCTTTTTATTATATTCATCTTTAATTATTAACAATTATTTGCTTTCGTTAAAACCGTTAAGAAAGTCGAATAGATTTCAAGCGATCTTGTAAAATAGCTTAGCTGCTTTGTTATTTGACGTATAGCGAAATATAATTTATTAAGCGTGCGTAATAGCATATGCTTTACATTTAACCTTAATGATTCTTTTAAGTCTTACCTTTTTAACATTATAAGCTAGCGCTTCAAAAGCTTTTTTACTTAAATGACTTGTCCGTAAATGTTAAAGTACCGATGAATCTTCTTTTAAAGCTCGAAAAATATTGCTCTTTTAAAATTTATAGCGTATTTGCAAGCGCTTTTAAGTTGTAAAGAATATTATTAAGCAAAAAGAGTTACGAATCAATTAAAGCAAAGAATAATTAAATAGCTTATATTTAAAGAACGTAAGATTAAACTTCTTTTTTAACTTTCTTAACACGACGCTCTTTTTGATCTTTTCGTAACGGAAAGTTGCGTTATATCTCGAGTACTATACGCTAGCTTTGCTTAAAAGAGCTTCCGAGATAATATTGATATTAAACCTTTTAACGATAACGACGTTTTCTAATTTCAAATCTTTTGTTTTAGCTTTATTTAATCCGTTTAAAGCTCTTTTAAAGATTTTAATACTTCGCTCGACGATTAAAAGACTACTCGTTTTAGCTTCGATAAAGTCGGTTAAGCGAAAGCGTTGAATTAACTTTAATTTTAAGAGATTCTTATCGTTAATAAAGTGAATAGCGCCGCAATTATCGAAAAGAATGCTATTAAATAGCTAATGCTTATTATTAGCCGTGTTATAAAGACCGTTAAAGACAAGATTATCGAGCGTGCTAAAGAGCTTAAGATCGATAATAGTTATTAACACTTTTTTAAAGTATTTTAATTTATCGCTATCATTCGATTGCTTTTCTTTGCTTTTTAAAACGATTTTATCGACTTAAATTTATGCTTAACCTTCTTTCGTAATCTCTTTTCGAAGCGCTTTGAACTTAAGCTTTTAAAGCCTTTTCTTTATAACGACGATATCATCTCGGTTCGGCTTTACGAATCTATTTTCGTTAAGACTGTTAAAGCAATAGCGAAAGATCTTGCACTTGATTGCGTTTTAATAATAGTTTCTCTTTTTAAAGCACGAGCACTTAAAACTTTTAGCAAGTCTTTTAAAGCTATCGAAGCGTTTACTAAACTGCTTAAAAGCAATATCGTTAGCTTTATCACTTTCGAAAGTGCTACGAGTAGTTTGATCTCCGAAAGTAACGAATACGCTAAAGAAGTTAAAGTTCGGATTGCTAGTCTTCTTTTCGACTTAACTTTCGTACTAGTTAAAGTAGTCGTAAAAAGTGCGCTTTTAAAGCAATAACAACTCGTCGTTTCGAATAATTTTTACGAGCTTTAACGACGCTTAAGTTAATGACTATTTTTCGCTAATAGCTTTTAAGAATGCTTTTATCGCGAGTATACTCGTCGTCTCGTAAAAGTTGTTTATTTTCGCTAACTTGTAAATAGCTTAGTGTTCTTTAATTTATACCGCTAAAAAGACGCTCTTTTGCTTAGCTGCTTATAAGGATTTGTTATAATCTTATACTATCGATAGCTT